AAAGACTAATATCGTAAAATTAAACAAAGACTAATATCGTCTTTGTTTAATTTTATGATATTAGTCTTTGTTTATTGGTGTTGAGATATGTGTCTACATCAAAATCATAGTTCATGAATAATGTAGTAACTAAAACCTACCTTGTGGACAAAATACATTGTCCTGCGTGGTTGTCAAAGTGCATATTTTCCCTTATAGTTTATTAAGTAATTTAAATGGGGGCATATTTTATCATTAAGTTTTGAAAATCTTTTTTAAGGGAGACATACTTCGAATTAATTTGTCAAGTCATATTAAAGAGGCGTATTTTGTTTTAAAGTTTATGAAGTTATTTTAGGGGGTGGGGTCATAAAGTTTATCAAATCTTTCTCAAGAATTTCTGCCTCTCAGTATCAACATTTAGTTAGATCTTTTAAAATAATGACTATTACAAAATAACGGGACAGAGAAGACTTATGACAGCACTGAAATACGCTGCTTTATTTCCTTTTGATCAATGCTGAAATATACCATCAAATGACCACGTTATGATTAATGTTTTTAAATGAATTAATATACGTTTCATTGTTTCTTTGCAACAATAAATTGACAATAACAACTAAAGACAGGGGAACTACTCCGCTAATCTGCTTTGATCGTCTGTAAGTACCTCGGAACCTATCCGTGAATACAACTAATAACTAAGTGTCAAACAGAGAATAACAAGTCAAGGCTTGTCTCCAGCAGCGTGTCTGGAAATGTTATCTCCCTTTACATCGCAGTGTTAAGTTTGTACGAAAGTGTCTTAGAAGACTACTTGAAAAGTCCTCCAGATTCATTTACCTTGAACAACGAATAGAAACCGTGGACTATTAAACAGTGTTTCGACACGACAACACCGAGTTCTGGCTGCATAATCAGGACAGTTGTGTTAAGTGGTGTGTCATGTATTTTACAGTCTATTACGATAGAACAATTCTAATATATTTCTGTCAGTGAAAAATAACATACACACAAAATATTATTGTGCTGGTTCTATATGAAACTTTATTTAAGCATTTCCAGACAGTATATCCATATCCTTAATGAACAAGGTTTTATACTAAGTTTAGACCGTGCGTGGCCTTCTAGTTGGAATGCCTGAACTGTGAACACGATGATTTATGTCTTGCGCCTCCTTGCCCTTACAAATAGTCTCCGAATTTTGGAGTCGTGGGCGCGTTATTAGAGTGACAGTAAAATATCACTGTTTGGTCAGATAACAGTAGTCCAAGAGATGGCGTTTGGTGCTGTTGACTAGCTGCCTTTGTTGACCAGCTAGTATATCTGTCCAAAATTAAGGACGGGGGTGTGAAGATAAAGCTTGGTGTAGGTTTACGAGAAAATTTTGAAACAAACAAAAATCCAGTGGAAGCTAAGTAGTAAAAAACGTTTCATGGGATTTCAGAATTTGTTAATCCTAAGTTAATTTTTTCAGACATTACTGCATGCTAATATGCATCAAAATTTGGCTTCGTGTTTAGCGATCGAGAATGGAGAACATCCAAATCTATTCATACACGGATTTATACCCCATGAACTGGCTCTTCTGTTTCGATTTATCCTAACACTTTTTAACACTCGATAAACTTCTGAAAACATGTAAGAAATTTAATTTCGTTAGGCTTAATTGTAACAATGTAATTACGTTCAAAGTTGACAATGTAAGTAACACTAAATTGACAAAATATGTATAGATCCGAAACTAATATTGGAGTTGGTAAAATACACCAGCAGAGAAGTTAAACCAATATCAAAGACTGAAAAGTTATTTTAATTTCACAATGACCCCTTAATGACAACAGCAATACGCACACACACAATACACAATAATTTGTATATACGTATTAATTTATATAAGAATTTTTAGTGACGCTATATTAAGTGTATGTTTGTAGTTAAGCACGAAACTACACAAGGGGCTATCCATGCTCTGCCCACCACGAGTATCGAAACCCGATTTATAGCGTTGTAAGTTCGCAGACATACCGCAGTGCCACAACGCACAAATCCGGTGTTTGATCCCCTGCGGTGGATATAGCAGGTAGTCCAACGTAGCTTTGCTCTAAAACCAATCGAGTGTGTCTTACTAGTTGGATGCCATCCCTTTGGTGAAACAGGAAGATTTAAACCTTGATCGTAATAGCTTCTGATCTGGTTGTTTAGTCCGCCTGTGTATAAAGTGTTGTTTAGTTTGAAAATTTCGGTTCCAGTGACTACAATTATCATTGAGCGTTCAAGATCACATGTACCAGCGTTTCCCATACCTTTGTTATTTACGCCCCTTTAACAAGTATGGTTAATTGCGCGCCCCCTCCTTTATTTCTTTTTTTAAACGAGTCAAAGAGTGAAATATGTGGCGGGATTATAACACACGGATACACATTAAAATGTTATACGTCTTGTAGTAATTACTTATTATTTTCATTAGCAAAAAAAAAAAAAGCTTAATTTTGTATTTGTGTACTATTGACTCTATCTTAAATTGCTCGCGCCCCAGCCCAAGAGATCATTTGCGTTCCCCTGGGGCACCCCATACTTTGGGAAACACTGACATATTATCTACAGAGTTTGTTATACTATGGTCTTCTAATGACAAATCAAGGGGTGGGGGTAGAGACTCTCAGAAATGGATGCACGGATGTAGTTGAAGACTGACAACAACATGGAAATTGTCTCGCAAAGTCAGGTGTGAACACCTTTTTCGAATAGGTGTTGTTTTCTTTGAATTTTCAAGGGTGGTTTAAAATGTAAAAATATGGATCAATACTTTATAAATATAGTGTTTAAAATGTAAAAATATGGATCAATACTTTATAAATACTGTGTTTAAAATGTAAAAATATGGATCAATACTTTATAAACACTGTGTTTAAAATGTAAAAATATGGATCAATACTTTATAAACACTGTGTTTAAAATGTAAAAACATTTTAAACACAGTGTTTATAAAGTATTGATCCATATTTTTACATTTTAAACACAGTAGTTTATAAAGTATTGATCCATATAAAAATATGGATCAATACTTTATAAATACTGTGTTTAAAATGTAAAAATATGGATCAATACTTTATAAATACTGTGTTTAAAATGTAAAAATATGGATCAATACTTTATAAATACTGTGTTTAAAATGTAAAAATATGGATCAATACTTTATAAATACTGTCTTCTACTTTTCTTAGAATTTAATTAAAATGATGACTTCATGATTGACTGATACAGTTTTAAATTAGAACGTATTAAAGACGACGTTGTTAATTATTATCTCGTAATCGTTACTACAAAACTTAAGTACATCGTTACTTTGCTGCGAAAGTATTAACATTTATACCAAGGCTACTAAAGATGTCTGTTGCTGTTCCTAATTTGGAGCTGTTGACCAGGAGCAACACCCTACCACCCACCACCCACGATAAAGAATTGACTGTCAACTCTTATAACGCACCCACAGTTTAAACTCTATGTGTGTGTGTGGGGGGGATATTTTATGGTATCGCACGAATATAAGACCTGTTTGCCAGCTCCGAAATCCAAAGTTCTACCATAGAGCCAACATGACGAAAAAAAATTAAAGACTCCCGTTTTTTATTTATTTATTAGGTACAACTAACGGCTATGAGAAGAAAAAAAAGTTAATTACTCAGTTATTTTTACTATTCAATATATATTTATTTGTAGTCTTTAAAGGCCTGAAATTAACAATACATATTTAAAATAAAAAATTAATTCCTAAAAGCTTTGGGCCAGGTTAGCGTGCCCGTGCCGCGAATCCAAGGATTTGTGGTTCGCAATCCGTACTTTGAGACTGGGGGTGCTTTATAAGAGTGATTGATGGTCAAAGTGTATTATCCAGTCAGACAAGAGTAATTTAAGAATAAGCACTGATGGGTGACTAGGTGTCTTCTCTCTCTTTAGTCTATCAGTTAAAAATTAGGGTAGGTAGCTCCAATACGGCTTTGTGCGAATATTTGAAATGGACAAACAAACCTAAGAGCTTCGTGATGAATTTAGAATAATCAAATATATTCTGCACAGCTACTTGGCAAAAGCACAATAGCACTTAAGTATTATAAGTACAAGAATTTTAAACACATTTTTATTTCAAGTTACCGCAATGAAGTGGAAATTGTACAGTGTCATGTGATGTCAACTCCAGATTCAAAAACCTTGTTACAGACAATCAAATACTCGTAACCCATTCCTTTAGTTTTGTTTTCCGAATTTCGCGCAAAACTATCTGCGTTAGCCTTCCCTGATTTTGAAGTAATACACTAGAGGGAAGGCAGATAGTCGACACCACCCACCGCCAACTCTTGGGCTTCATTTTTAATAACTAAAAGTGAGATTGGACTTCCCCACGGCTGAAAGGGGCAAGTATGTTCGGTTGAATTCGCAACCCGCAGATTAAGAGTCGAGGGCTCTAACTACCAGGCAGTCCATTCGAATTGGTGGGAAGGTTTTAATACTGTAATTCTTCCAGTTTGATGGTAAATGAAGGAATCGGGCTTGACTTGAATTTCATAATAGTTTACAAAGCGTGTATAAAAATTATTATTCAATATCGAAAGCACATTTTAGTGTTTTGTGGATTTCACACTTTTTTTTTTTCTGCTCCAAAACTAAGCCTCAATCCAAATACAACGCAGTTAATAAATAGTGTTGATTACGCATATTAAAAGTTGATGCCGCCGTTAAGATTTAATTAGGGCGTCATAAAAGCTTACAGAAGTCTCTTTCATCTATCACGAGATGACGTCGAAGAAAAGAGGACCACCCAAATACATCACTTGTCATATCATAACTGGAGCTGCGTGACATCTGTCGGTAGAAAATCAAACTACATTCCTACTTTGTCGTACTGAATACGAACAAGTTGAAGTAATGAATTTAAACGAAACTGTATTCTTCTAAGTATCACTTCCTTTTTTTTTTATCTTGATATCCAAAACAAAAAAAAGTGCACTGAAAACAACAGTTTATAAAGATATTCAAAAACAGTCGTTATCTGAATGGTAGAAATATATATAAATACGTGCTCATACATATATATTAATCAGCCACTCGACATGTACAAAGTCAGCTGCAGACATCGCACTTCCTCAGCCAGGACTCAGAACCGGTTTGTTCTTTAGTTGCTAGCGTCGCGCGCTGGGAGGCGGAGTTTTCCCACACTCCGCACGAGCCAGGGTTATGTGAAGAAAGCGGTGGCACGTGCAGTTTTACCAGCATACTTCTGCTCAGATTACCCCCCTGATTGATTTGCAGGTCAGAGCCATTATGTTACGCCTACACGAAATGCCAATCAACGAGCTGGTAGCAACTATTGTCCAATCAACGAGCTGATTGCAACTATTGTCCTATTACACATACTTTTAGAAACCGCTGGAATTTTTAATCTATAATTGAGATGGTTTACACACCAAATAAATATGAAATTAAAAAAAAGTCTACCATGCATAAAATTTTATTTATTTAGGATCTTGGCATGAATTGATAAATAAATTTACATACGCTATTAATTATTTTAGGGTTTGAAGTAATTTTACGTAGTGAATTGCGTCCTTAAACTCGTTTATTAAGGAAATAATACAGCATTATTTCCACTGATCAAAAATACATGTAAAATACAACGTTCGTGTAAACTGTAGAACCGCACAAAGAAAAACATTCTAAAGGAAACGAAACGTTTAAATACTAAAGAAAGAAAAAAACCACAATGCTATTCGTAGAATCGTGCAAATAAGATGCAATCCCACAACCCGCGCCTCGAAGCACGCGAGGCCCGTGTTAACCAACGCGAGGTACTTACACAATCTGGGCAGCGGGCGCCGCGCCTGTGACTATCAGTTAGTGTGGGAACGAACTCGCTTCGCGGTTCTCACACGATCGGCCTGCATGCATGGTTGACCTCGGATAAATAACAACTCACGTCACGCGCGCACGTTCCCACACATGCACTTGTTGATTACTACCGAACGGGGAACAGAGTTTAGCTTCGAAAGTTGACCGAAAGGCTGGCATTCCGTTACTCGTAGTCGTAGCGTTAAAGTTGTTGGTTGTTGACGTGAGTTTTATGTTATAATTTCTCGATCCAATGTATAGTTCCCTCTACCTGTTTTGTAGTTTACGATAGTGTTACTCAAATACAAGATGCCTGCAGAGAAACCGCCTTCCAAGACTAGCGACTATCGGCGGGTAAATATCGTATTTTTTTATATATTTTTTGTATGGAAATGATAAAACTTGAGTTTCCACATCAGATGTTTTTGTTCCAATAAATACGCTATAAACAACCTATTTTTAAGAAACGGTTCACGAAAATAATTACATTCAATATTTCTGAGAAGTTATGTTTTATAATATCTATTAATAATTATATAAATACGCTGATCCAGTGTCCTTAATTATTATTATTATTATTTGTTTTTTCGAATCAGATTTGGTTTGATTGTAATGCTTAAAATGCCTCTTAAAGACTAACGTTTAATGAATAATGCCGGTTGGTGTATGGATGTCAGTAATACTCTATGCAAGACAGACTCAGGTGTATTGTACGAGTTTCTAATAATTTATATATTGTAATGCTTAAAATGCCTCTTAAAAATTAACGTTTAATGAATAATGTCGGTTGGTGTATGGATGTCAGTAATACTTTATGCAAGACAGACTCAGGTGTATTGTACGAGTTTCTAATAATTTATATATGCTAAATACTTAAATACTCTGTTTGTCAATATTCAAAATTTGAAGTGAATCGTTATGAAATTTGTAGCTTAATTAGTATTATGAATGTATCTTGTACGAATATTAAGTTTCTATCTTTGATTTGATTGGAAACTGTTTTTTTCAATCAAAGTGAGTGATTTTAAAGAGTTAAATATACATATAAGTTAACTCTAACCTTCTGTATAGGCTACTAAACCAATTATGGAAAAAAGGAGAAGAGCACGAATAAACCAATGCCTGTCCGAGTTGAAATCTCTGATCTTAGACGCATTGAACGAGGATGTAAGTACATTTGTAAAGTGATGACTGATATTTAATTAATTAAATTAGGATGTAAGCATATGTCTAAAGCGAAGACTGATCTTTAATTAATTAAATTAGGATGTAAGCATATGTCTAAAGTTAAAACTGATCTTTAATTAATTAAATTAGGAAGTAAGTATATTTCTAAAGCGAAGACTGATATTTAATTAATTAAATTAGGATGTAAGCATATGTCTAAAGCGAAGACTGATCTTTAATTAATTAAATTAGGATGTAAGCATATGTCTAAAGTGAAGAC